CTTACAGGACCTTCTGGTCAACAAAGTAGGTGACAGACCAAAGTTTCCAAGTCAGAGACAAGGTGTAGAGCTTCCTTCTCCAGGAAGATGGTTGAGATTTGGAGCTAATTTAGGTTCACCCAAGTATAGGGTGAGAGGTGGGATGAACTCCACAGGCTGGTTAGGTTGAGTGATGGTAGATGGGTCTGAGGATCACCATGAAAGCTCAGACTGAACCTGACCTCTGGTCACAGGGATGGCGCCTGAGTTATTTAGTTCATAACACTCTGGCTGTCCATTAATGGCCTGGCCACAGCTCGTTGACCATGCATGTCTCCCGTGGTTGTCCCATACCCAGTCACCTTGGGAATTTAACCTGGGGAGCTCTGAGGCTGACTGAGTTCCAGCTTCAGTTGGCCCCTCCCTAAAATGCTTTCTGACCTGGAACACTGTCCAGGGGATATGGCAGGTGCTGAACTGGTTGCACTCTGCAGCTATTGTACTGCAAGGCATCCATTGCTCTGGTGCATCTCTCCCTGAAGGCCTCTGGAGTTGCCCACTTTCACTGTGACTCTGTGCATTCAATCTTCCTTTCTCACAAGTCACAAGCTAGGAGGCAGGGAGAAAGCACACATTGCTACTTCCTTTTTCTGCATTGAAGTCGCTCCCTTCAAATTCTCTGTAGGCTCCAATTTTACTTTCAGATCCTTTCTAGGTCCCAGGGAGCCACCTTCCTCCTTCTTTTCTTTCCCAAGTTGTTATTTTCCAGAGTCTGGATTCCAAGTCTTGGACAGGCTGATTTGTTGCTCTTTACCACCCTGCCATTTCCCCAGAAGTCCTCCTTTTTCTTAATTTGGGTACTAGTTTACAAGGGATTTTTCACCTGATAGAATTTAATAAGGTTGGATACTTATAATTGGTCCTGTTTATTTTTCTGTTTGACATATTTCAACAGAAAAATCTCTCTAAGAAAAAGTGTCAATACAATGTGTAAAAACTTATCTTGTCAGCCAAATACACTTGTCCCTTTAATGTTCAAACAAGTTGCAGAGTAGCTGTTTGGACACTAGAGGGAGACATTGAATTCTAGTAGTTTGGGGACACTGGCAAAGTGTTTGAAGGAATGCACCTGGGAAAATTTTTTAATGGAAGAATAGCAAAAATATATATCCTCAAAGCAAAGCATAATAACCAATCATTCATTGATTTATAAAAAGATAGGTTCCACTTTAGTATAAGTGTGTTCTTATCTGAGCCACCAGCAGGTGGAAACTGAGATATAGTCTCTTATCCAAGTCCAAATTCTGGAGAGAACTCTGAGTAGTCCAACATTTCAGGATTCCTTTGAGCAGGGAGTAGGATTGTGCAGCATAACTGAATCAGAAAAAACTGTGAGGACTCCAGACAGACCACTCTTAACATGAAGATAGGAGCAAAAAACAGCTTTTAATGCTGGCAGCTCAGCAAGTGGCTCCTATCAGTCAGAACCCTGAACAGAAGTTTGCACTGTTTTATATACCTCTTTTTACATCTAGGCTTCTTGTTTTTTTGTTTTTTGGAACCGGGGATCAAACTCAGGACCTTGCACTTGCAAAGCAGACAATGGAATCACTGAACTAAATCCCTGACCCTAGGCTTTCTTTCATTGGAGTTTCTCTAGGAATATAGCATATTTAGGATTTACATGAAGCAAAGCAGCAGGAGTGGGGGGGTGTTCTGGAAGGATTTTCTGAGTCCGTTATGCTCCTTTGGTGACAGATTACAGAAGTTGTCATGGCTACTCAGGTACATTCTACAAAGTCCACAGTTACCTAATAACTCATAGTTGCCTAATAATACAGTTAACCCATAAATTGCCCAGTTCCATATGGATGGGTGGTCTCCTCTCTCATAATAACACATGGTCCTTCTGTAACCATGAGAGAAACAGGCCATGTAATTCCTGAAAAGGGAAAGAAAAAGAGTGGCAGCGACATGGTTGATTCAGTTGGATTAGGCAGAGGTCAGTCTGATTTCCTTGTTTCTTGACCTCAGGGACTATGTCAAGAAAATGCAACATATTTCAAATTTAGCACAGTGAACTCTTCTCAGGCATATGGCATGTGGAAAAATTAGGGTCCATATCTCCAATGTTGTCACACCAAATTCCAGGGAGCTGGATTGATCCTAGAACAAAGAAGTGGGTCCTCTCTTTCTCCTCCATTACCCTCCTAGCCCAACATAGAGCATAGGAGCTAGGGTTATTACAAGTATCACCCCATGCAGCAGAAGACAGGGGCCGTGTCGGTGACACAGAGAGGTTCGAAGGGCCATAATGATATGGCCCCATGCAGACCTAAAGGAGCCACCCTGAAGGCGTGTTGGCTGCCCCTCAGAGGAAGCAAAGTGGGAAGACTTCAGGTACTGGGTTGACACCATGGGCTAACATTTACTCTTTGGTTGTGAATGTACCGAGGTGTAGCTAAGAGAGCCATGGGGCAGGAATCTAGAGGCACAGTACAAGAAGGGGCCAAAGACAGACCCGTGCCACCTGCAGAGAGACAAGAAGAGCCCAGACAGAGCCAGAGAGGAATGGGAAGGTGAAGTGGTGCAGTTGGAGGGCTGTGAAGGGGTCTGAAACACAGCTGGTGGCCAGCTTGGGAAAGCACCACTGTCACTGGAGGAGATCAAGGCCAGGAAAATGCTGATGACCAGCACCATGTGCAAGATCTCCTCCTGGAGACAAAGTATCAGGTCCATCTGAGTCGATCTCAAATCTAAGGCAGGTGCATTCCTTCAAACACCTTGTCAGTGTCCCAAAATCACAAGGAGAGTTCAATGTCTCCCTCTAGTGTCCAAACTGCTACTTCACAACTCGGTTGAACATTAAAAGGGACAAGTACATTTGAGTGACATGTTTTTTTAATCTAGAGAAAAAGAAATGTCAGGATGTTATTTCATAAGGCAAGAGTCAGAAAGTATTTTATGTCCATTTCTTTCTTTACTT